ATGTGCTCTATAAAGCATATTAGTTATGTAAATAAACAATTTTTCCTCTATGAACCTCAAAAAATCCTATTTGATCTAATTGTTTTTCACAAAACTAGAAGATTGTCTTTCTCAAAACTGAAAAATTTAATTAGAAGTAAATTATAGGTAATATGATAATAATATTTAAAATATTGTTATTATTTTAACACGTGCCGTATGTTTGTTTAATAATTTAAAATAATTATTCTCATCCGCATTCGGCCACCTTTTACTGGGTTAGTCAATATAGAGCTGATAAGAGAGTTTAAAATACGACTGATAAGATAAATTTAAATAAGAGGTCTTAACTAAAAATAGTACACTTGATAAATAGAGGTGTTATGCGAATTTTTGCAAAATTAGTGCTAAATTTGATCCAACGATAAAAAATAAATAGTTTCACTATTGTTATATATGTTGTTTTTTTTATTTATTGATATTTATTGTTTGATTTGTATTTACTTGCATTCTTTTATAAAAAAAATTTCTTGTTGCTCAAAATCAAACACCAGTTTTTGTAGTATTCACTATTATAAAAGACATTTATTTATAATATTAACCCTTTCCATTCGGATGCCGCCCCTCCGGCAGTAAAATCCATATAAATCTCGCTACTCGCGAGTGGAAAGGGTTAAAATTATAAAAAAATTATAATAACGTAAAAAAATATTTAATGTTGTCAAATATTTTATCAACATTAAATGTACCTTTCATAATAAATAAAAACAAATTAATTTTCGTCCTCCATGCAAATATTGGCATTTTTATAAATGTCCTTCCTTCTGTATCCCTAGGGCTTAAGGTAAATAAAATATAATACATCTCTCTTGTAAAGTTCGTCGACCCTTAGAGGTAAATGTCCTAAAAAGCCGACGTGTCCTTCAATTACTAACTTTTATCTAATCCCAAATCCTGATCCTTTTTTCGGTTTCTCGAGGATCAGGATTTAGATACAAAGATTTATCACCGAACTGAAGAAAGTTGGGATTAAAGTTTTCAAAAGAATTTTCGATGAAATTTATTCATGTTTAATAACGGTAAAAAAGCTCTCGTTTTGTGTAAAACATTAGGCAAATTTGTACAAATGTGAATTATCTGCGACTTTTTCAAGCATCATAATAGTTTCATGACTACGTCAACTCCACATACTCATAAAAGATGAAATAACTTTAGGCACATTTTGGTCTGGTTTTGACGGATTCTTATGGTATTTTTATAGAAAATTATGTAATTTTTAGTAAGTCTTTTGAACAATTCGACTCTGTTAATTTCATTCGCAGCCTTTAATTTATATTACCGGTTTTATCTGATATGAGAACAATACTGAAGAGATAACAAACAATACGACGAACGCGAATACAAGGTTTCAGGTTGCACATGTGCAAAAAAATACTCTCTTTACTTAAAAAAATATTAAAAAACCATTTAAGTTGCAATTTATATATATATATATATATATATATATATAGATATATATATATATATATGTATAATATGTATATACCGTACCGATAAAGTAGATAAACCCAAATAGATGAAAAGAATCCAAAAGTGAAATTGATATTGGTCTGATTATTTATTAAATCCCTTGCAGCTTTTAAGCTTTTTGTCTAAAATATATGAAACATTCAGCAAATTTGTAAAAAAATAAATAGTCTATAATTTGTACAAATTTGTATATAATTAAATAATCTACAAATATAGTTGTTTGTGGTTAGCCCAAGCTGTAGATTATTTAATTATATACAAATTTGACGAATCTTTTATTCATATTAAATGAACGGTTTAAAAGTTACAAGATGTAGTAAACAAATGTGTAAACGAATTGCAAATCAATTTATGATATTAGTTAAGTATCTGTATTCAAGTACTATTTTAAAGTTCACAGAGTTGTTGTTGTTGTTAAAAGACTTTGTGATTATAAAAGATATATCAAATGGGGCCTTAAAATCCTGATGCATCTTGTTTTTTGCAAATATGCAAGACTTTTAAATAGCACAGAACTATCATATCATTTGTTGATATAGATCGTGCGTTTGAAAAATGTTTGGTAAATTAGATTGCCTGCAAGTTGTACTAATAATATTTGCCCTTAATCAACTAGCTATACTTTAAAATCGCAATTGAAATTGGTAGATAGGTCTGAGCGCGGTCCAGATTATGATTAATTCATGCTTCAAATTTGGGCATTTTTTTAAATGTATCATTTTATGCGTAAATTGAATATTATTAATTTATTTTTTATAATATATAATATAGCATTCAATTTATATAAAATTCTGCTTTTGGCAAATTTATTTCAAAGATTGGTCAAGTGTCTACAATAAAAACCAAATACTCTACAAGTAATCTATTTATCGATGACTTTCTAATAGAGCCTTCTTTGTTAGGCATGCTTCATTGTAGAGTAAATAAATATTTATTTATTTATTTATTTACTCTACACGGAAGGATGTCTAACAAGATATGGAAAATTAGAATAAGGCATCAATATTTCGTTAATATTTAGTTGCCTACTATATATTTTAGCTCCAAGAGTCTCTACAGGAATCTAAAAAAAATCAACATTTCATTATTTTGTGCATGGATTTTTTTCCATATTTTTTGCAGTTAAATGTTATTTTTTTATCTATAATATAAAATAAACCAGAAAACCTAACAAGAAATTAGTCTCATTGTCAGGAAAAGAATTTACAAATAATTGATCACTTAGTGCATTAATATTTTTTACAATATATAGTAGAGCATACGATTAATAAAATAATGTTTTAGGCATAATTGTGTGAAATTTAGAGGTCAGCATTATTTTATGGCAGATCAAAACTCTGCAAGGATTCAAGTTTGAAGAAAATGACAAATAATCATCAACAATTTATTATTATGTACAATGTACATAATGGTATAACATACATGTACATTGTACATGTATGTTATACCATTGTTTTTGGTAATTATGTGCAAAATTTTATCATCAACAATATTTTTTTGAAACCACTAGATCCAACAGGTACTTAGCCCCATTTCAGGAAAAGTAGTGAAAAATAATTATGCATGGATTATTTTTTACAACATATAGTAAAGCATTCGATTAATATGAACAATGTTTTAGGCCCATTTGTGTGAAATTTAGAGGTCTTCAATGTTTTCTAGGAAATCGAGACTCTACAAGAATTTAAATGAAGAAAATGGCAATTAATCATCAACTTAAACCACATGGAATTATTGCCATTGTTTTTGGCAATTATGTGCATAATTTTATCGTCTACAATATTTCTTAACACCACAAAATCTAACAAGAACTTGGCTTCATTTTCAGGAAAATAAGTTATACATAATTATTTAATTATTTAATTATTTTGTGGATGGTTTTTATTACAATATGTAATAATGTATTCGATTAATACGAATGATAGTATTTTTGGGAAAAATTATACTGTATCTAATGTTTTCTAGCATTACAAGTCTCATGTTTAAGAAAAATGCAAAACAGTCACGAAATATTTAGTTATTTTATCAACGAAATGTTTTCATGGCAATTACCGAGTTTAAATTTAATTGTATTTCCGTTTCAATTAATATGAATAATACTTTTTGCACAATATTCAAGACAAGTCAATATTTATCTGTTCGCCTTCAAAACTCTACACGAATCGAAAAAAAAACGAAGGTAATCGTGGAGATAAACATATTATAACATAAAAAACAACAACCTTGAATCATTAAAAGACATTTGCGGAATGTATATTTTCCTTGCATAAATTTACCTGTGGTAAAAGTAATAATACAAAATCGATACAACGAAACTTACATGTTTTTTGTGTTTTGATTAATCACTTATTTATTTATTGAACTTTTACACAGTGTTTATTCCCACAACACGGGCACATTATTGTACACTCGGTTTAACATATTTAGATGTTTTTTCAAATGTTTTTTCATTGACAATACATAATTAATTCGACACAGAAAGTGCGGACACCGCGTACGAAGGCGAAATGACAGCAGCAAGATGGACGCTGACTTTTATCAGCTGATTTGCACATGCGCCATACAAAGGTACCACACATGAAAAATAGAGAATGAATAATTGTATTAATTGAATTATGTGCTTTGTGATATATTAATTTAATTATACAATACCTTTTGTAAATGTAGAAATTGCATAACGATTGCGTTAACTGAATGAAATTTTAATATTGCGATTGCGCAAGAAATATTTGCAAACGGTGGCACCACCTGTTGGAAAGTAGAGAGGACTTCACAGTATTCAATTAAGATGGCAGCTCAAGTGTCAACTGTCTGAATTTGATTGTCGTTATTTTGTTAAATTTAAAATATTATAGTGGATATAAAATAAATATAAGTATTAAACAGAACTGAAAAAAACGAGCGTTAAAAAAAGGGCTTGTAGAAATTACTTGGTTGTTGAAAAATGAAAAATATGTATTCCTTCAACTTGTAATGATTTACAAATATGTAAGTTCACCCATTTAGACTACTATTATATATATATATATATATATATATATATATATATATATATATATTACTTATTTGTACTGAAAAAATGAGTTTATATTTGAATTTATTTAAATAATAATATTGAGTCCACATATACATAGCATACAGTCACAAATCAACAATACAAACATAATTCGTTCACTTATACACATATTTAACAATAACAATGGAATAACATACGCAAGTATTAAAATCGAACTAACATACCTATTCTTAATAACAATTTTATATATCTAAACATAATACTATTTTTAACTAGTATCGCTAATAACAAAAAGTCATAAGTAAAATCAGCTTTGCTGAGACAATATATATATATATATATATATATATATATATATATATATATATATATATATATTGTTCATAATTATATCATGCTTTAATTGCATGCTTAAAATTGATACCTCGATCTATGAATCCTATGTACGACTAGAAATTAAAACCAACAGTCAATCTCAACAGAAAAGATCTTTACATTGTACACCAATATTATCACAAATACATTCCGTACAAGGATTACTTAGTTCCACAATAACTTGCCCAACCGAGTACATTTTACCATAAATATTACAACCAGCCAATTTGAATATGACATTTGCATTATCAGATGAAGAGTCTTGAAGATCCATAGGCCTTTTAGGAGGGTTTGTAGTTAAAGGTTTTTTAGTGGTATTTATATCGATGACTGGTGCATTGTTGATGATGTTTTTGACAACATCTTTGGATGTGTTGATTTTTGTAGCCAGTTTAGACCTTTGTGTGGTATGATTGTCTAATACTAAATTGTGGAATTTTGTTATATTTTTTCTTTGAGCTGGCAATGGATTTCTTTTTAATAATTCGTAGCTATTACTTGGTTTATCATGATCTTTTAAAACGTTTATCCTAATTTCTTCTTTAGGTGTTTTAGTAGTTTCTAAACTCTCTTCCAATGGTGAAAATATATAATTCAGTACTTTATCTAACTCAGACTCCCCGGATTCTAAATCAGGAGCACTTGTGGTGTTTTTAGGTTCCAATAAAATTATTTCTTCTTCATCATCCACATATGCTTGAGTCGTACTATATGATGTATCATCATCGAAGTTTAATAAAGAGTTTATTTTTTGTGCATTTGTATTTATTTCATTTGCAGCTGTTGTGAAAACAAACCTATCCGGATTTATAACATAATTGTTGAACAGGGGCATGGATTCTCCAGGAAGAAAACCACCTATGAATAGAAATATGTTTGTTGTTGTCGATGAGAATAATAAATTTTATGCGCTAAATATAATTATTCACCTTCAGTTTTTACAGGAGGTGCGAATCCTTTTCCTCCACTATAGTCCAAAGTTGAATCTTCAGAATTTCTAAAAAAAAATAAAAATTACTAAAACCCTTACTCAATTATTCAGTAAGATCTTTTTTTGTAACTACCCGAAGGGAGATTGAGACACCAAATTTATTTTATAAGGTGCATCAGCTTCTGCATTTTTTCCCAGAGCATCCGCGGCTTCAAACTTAATAATTCTAAAAATATATGAAATATCATTTAGAAAAGTGTTTTTTGATCACTGTGCTCTATTTTATTTGCTCACCTAACATTCGGTAAACTTGGGGGCAACATGGTATCATAATCCAGTTCGTAATCATTATTTTCATCTCTTGTTTCATTCCCTGGCAAATCCACCACAAAATCTGTTGTAATATTTATCCCGCTGACATCCCTCTTGTCGTGTCCTGATTTATTATTGCCGTTGTCATAAAAATACTTACCTTCATTATTCAGAGCTATAGTTTCGTAGTTTTCAATCGATTTCTTGAAGATCTGTCTCAACTTCTGTGCCAGTTTTTTGGACACATCTTCTTTCGGAGTCACAGGTTCCGAATTCAAAGATTCGTTGGTTTTGTGATCACTGGTTTCGTATTTGTCAAAATCGAATAGAGTAGTCGTCTCTGAATTTTTCAGGACGTCTTGAATTATTTTGCTGATTTTTGTTTTTTGAGACACTGTGGTGCCCGATACTTCTTCGGGGCCTAAAAACAAAGACACAGTATATACCTGAATGTCCACATAAAGCATGAAATCATGTGTGAAAATGTTGTCACATGTGTTTCAAAACTTAATTCTACGTTTAAAATCTTACTTCCTCGTTGTGCAGAACATTCAAATCTTTCAGGACAACACTGAGTATTAGTTGTGGAGAAAACAGGAGAGCATCCAAGAGGTGCAACTACAGGGCAAGGAACACTCGTGCACTTCACTACACCATGAAGACACATGCACTTAGAACAAGGATCATTCTGTGACAATGATCCCAGATTATCTGTTATCATGCTTCCTTCTTTGTACTGAATACCACCAATCACACAACCACCTGAATAAAAAATGTGAGGAAAACAATGTACACTTGGATGATTGATTTAAAGTTACCTCCCAAAGTCCTGTGCGTCCTAACAGAGACAATATCTGTTTTTTCTGGACATACATATCTGCCTGGACAGCAGGATTTTCCGCCATCAGCCGATCGCTTTCGGCTTCCTGGTTTGGAGGATGTTCCGGAAACAACTGGTATGCATCCTGATGGAGTCGGAACGCATTCCACGCTGGCGCAACGTTCAGTACCATCCGGGGAACAGTAGCAGGCCCGACAGGAATTGGAATTGCTGGTTGCTGAACCAGCGGAATAAATGGTCCCATCTATTATGCAACCACCTGGGTAAAAGAAAAATAGAACTAATGGGGTGTATGGCATCGTGCCTTAAGGCAAATTGCTGGAACTTCTCGTACCGTAACGAAATGTTCGAGGAATACAGAATGTTTTCAAATAGATTATTATAAATATTGTAACATTGTCTAATATTTGTAAGAATTATATAAACTGAATTGCTAAGTTAAAATTATTTGTTTAAAGTATATTAGAACTTTAGTCAGAATTAAAAATAAAATCTGAATTATTTTCGATATACAAAAAAAAACTAACTAGTGGGGTGTATGGCATCGTGCCTTAAGGCAAATTACTGGAACTTCCCGTACCGTAACGAAATGTTCGAGGAATACTGAGTGTTTTCTAATAGATTATTACAAATATTATAACATTGTCTAATATTTATAAAAATTATATAAACTGAATTGCAAAGTTAAACATATTTGTTTAAAATTAGAACTTTAGTCAGAATTACGATTAAAATTTGAATTATTTTCGATATACAAAAAAATGAAAAAAAAATTGAAAACAAAAAATTTGAAACAATTTTTTTTTCCAAAATCAATTATTTTGTTAAAACAAGCAGAAAGTTCTTTGAATCATTCAAATCGGACGCTTAGTTCTCTCAAAAACTGCCATTTTTTGCACATTTAGCTCTGTATCTCCGAAATGGTTAGGCCTGTCTTTGCCAAAAACTAATAACCACTTCTCCCAATCATTACTAATTGAATGCTTTTTAGATCATTCAAATCGGATACTCCGTTCTCTCAAAAAGTCGATTTCTATTTTCTGCACTCTTTGCTCCGTATCCTCGAAACGGCTGGACCTGCCTTTGCAAAAACTACTCAGCTCTTCTCCCTATCGATAGGAATCGAATGTTTTTCTAACCATTCAAATCGGTTGATCCGTGAGGCCGAAAACGTGACTGGAAATTTGTATCCATACATACATACACACACATCAATTTTTTCTGAGGTATGCCAAAATGTTCAGAAACCTTCAAAACGTCGAGAAACGTAAAAATTTTCAATTTCGATTTTCGGCCCATTACAATAACATACCCTACGGGAAGTTAAAAAAGAAATATAGAAAGGAATGTAACGATGAGTTTACACAAATCGTGTGGTAAATATTTTGTTTTGGAAGAAGTAAATTATTAATTCAGATATAATTTATCTAGTATTTATATGTATCGTATATAAAATATATACTGCGCTAAAAAGAAGAATTTCCAATTACAAATTAATTACTATAATTACTTTTTTTCACTTTATTCTCAATAACTCGACGGTGAGTTCAATGATATTTGAATAATTAATTTTTTGTTACAAAAAACAAGAAATAGTACTCACCTTCACTCAAGGTAGCATTTTTGGTTCGCAAGAAGTCTAAATCGTTTAAAACAGCTCGATTTTGCAAACGATCTGCGAAAAATTATAAAATAGGTATAAAATAGTTGATACACACAACGTACTGTTTATAGTACGACAAGGAGAAGAGTTCATTTATTTAATACATGTGTTGTAACTTTTTAACTGTTTGTATAGCACATATGAAATCTTTAAGAAATTTGTTTAAAGTTAAATGTTTAACAACATTATCCAACATCATACACCGTACAGCAACTTTGTGTATTCATAAAAACCTGTTTTATTTATTTTTTCTACCCCTTTTACCATTTTCTTGTCCCCGTCTCCATCCAACGTGTTTGCATAGGAGTCGTGGACAACACTCCGAGCGCCTGGTCAGAGTGATGCACCCTGGCGGAGGCGGATCAGGAAATTCAGGGCAGACTCTCAACCTGCACCTGAGGAGACCCGTGGAGCAGGCACAACGCAGGCACGGAGACTCGGTGTGGACTTTAGAGCCATCTGGGTAGGTCTGGTTGGCGTAGAGACATTCTGAGAGGGAGATTATTCTTTGTTATACGGTTTATTGGAAATAAATAAAATTTTAGTCTATTTGTAGAAAATACAAAAATCTGCTAATATTATAGAACCCTAAAGCGATTCTAGTTAATCTTGAAATCGTGGTTAAAACTAAAAATTCGTAATTAAATTATATATAGCAAAATATTACAGAACAACTCGATTTTTCTCTAAATTATCAATTTGATTTTTATAGTATAACTTACAACCTTGCAAATGTTTTGAAAAGTTTTATGAAATTAAGCAATAAATAATATTGTTTAAGACCTTTACCCTGCAGCAAATCGGTTTACTCATAAAAATAAACACTGTATTTATTAACTTTGAACTTCTACAACAATTTACCATCCAGTATTTCCTGATCGATTGAACTTTCTAAATCTAAACAGAAACGCCCTATGGATCGAAATATACTTTCACATGCATACTTTTTTACATCATAATTTCATCTTCTTTAAGGTTATGTAAATTCGTGAGATGATCCGAAAAATTATCATATTTACTTTCTTTTCGATAAAAATCGACAATGACAAATATGTAAAATATTTTAGATAAAATTATGTAAACCTTTCTTTATTCAAATTCGTTTAGAAGAAAGTTGGATTAGGTAATCGAATGTTTTGATAAAATCAGACTTTTGGGAATGCATTTGTGTCATCTTCAGTGACATTTATTTTATATTGAAAATCTTGTTTTTTAATAAAATTTTTTTAATAAAAAGCAAGACCGATCCCACTATATCCCACTAAAGTTGTAATGGACTTCATCAGAGATCAAAATGTTTTAAAAGATGATCTCAATATTTATAAATAAATCTACACATTCTTCAATGTTTCTGTGTCTCATATAGTATCCCACTAAGTTCTTTGAGACAAATAGATCGTTTAAGCCATTTTTTTCCAAGAACCGCAATTCCTTCTTCAACTGTACAATAATAATTCTCTTCTCCATAACTGTTCTTTAACACGAATACAATACAAAGACGACGGAAGATATGAAAACTTATTCATAAATTATTTATTTATCTCACCGGTGAGATAAATTATAATATACAGTATTTAGTTAAAAAATCTGCAATTTGTTAAGGAACTCACCGGTTCTTTGATAATGTTCAGCGGAAATTTGTCCAAAACAGGAGATGATGGTTAGACACAGGATGGATGGTAGCAGGAGTTCCATTCTGGAACTTTATTTAGCTCAGTTGATAACTGGAATTTGTTGAACACAAACTGTATATATAAATTGTATAATTATATTGCTTCCGGGTACCCTCATGAACCATGCGCATTTATTTGTTATATCTCTTGTAACTTTTACACCGTTTATCTCAATTTCATGTAATGTTGGGAAAATTTGTACAAATATAAATTGTCTGTAATCTCTTATGGTCTAATATAATTTCTTGTGGTAATATGTTTAAATAACTTTATGTATATTGTTCTACAGCAACTAGGTAAAAAATTATATGAATCGCGCTCAAATACAGTGCGGGCCTTCAATCATGTTACTAACTCGATTATGTATTATTATTTATGTATTATGGATGGATTATTTATTAATATATCTCTTACTTTTTGACCAATTTGTACCAAATAAAATTACCTATAACATTTTTTAACAATATATGGTTCTACAGCAACTCGGTATATTTTAAAAAAGTACTTGAAGGAGTATGACACTTAGTGCGCTCCTTTATGTAAATTCAAGAACTTCATCTAATTTGAATACAACATTCGATAAATTTGTACAATTAATATATTAATAATTATCTATAGGATGTTCTAATACAATGTTGTTTTACAACTCGGTATACTTCAACATCGTATTTACTAGTAGTATAAAGTATATGGAACTAAGCACGCTCAAATATAGTGAGCATTTTCAACTTTTATTTTCTCATGATATCTCTTGCAACTTTCAAACGATTTCGTTAAAATAAATAAAATATTCGACAATTTTTTACAAAATTAACTAAAGTGCAATATTTTATAATACAATGCAACCTAATGTAATCTAAAATCGTAGTTGTTGCTCAACATCTTTAATTTTGTTGTGACAATTACTTTAGTCTGCATTTAACCATACATTTATTTATTATATTTTTTGTAATTTTTGATTAATTGGTTTTTCTTAGGTAAATGTAATGATTGCCTAATTTGTATGAAATTAAATTAATGTCAATAATAAACCCTACAGCAACTCAATGTGCTCTAAAGTTGCGTTCGAAAATAAATAGTATAAGCGAGAAGTATTATTTATGTGCATTTTTTATTGGAATCTTTTGATTAATGTGATAATGTGAATGATGTATTTGAAATATTAGAGAAAATTGAATAATTTATAAGATCTTTTAAATTACATAATGCGCTACGGCAACTTGGTTTGCGAAAACAGAAAACTTTATGGTAAATATAATACATAGAATGAAATTACTAATTAAAAAAATGAGTAATTTTGTACAGTAAAAATGCTAAAAAAATTACATATTATGATTTAAGTAATATGTTAGAAAATTCATAAAATTATTTATCCAATCTATTTTTATAACTAGTTGGTATCGGTATTTTGCCTTGAGGAAAGTTAACTTAATCAATAAAAATAAATTAATTTATGAGTGATTAAAAGTATTCCGAGTGGATTTATTACACATAATTGAAAACGAACGGTCACGTTACTTCGGAGTATTTTCTAAAAGCAAATTTTCAAAAATCAGTAATTTTTATAATTGAACCAGTTTCCGTAGGACTTTAATTGTTTAGTATGTTCATTAGGATCAATTATCTTATCTTTATACCAAGTAAATCGTCTAATTTTAATTTTAACAAACGTCAAAAAAAACACTACTGATTTTCTCAAACTTTGAGGAATTTTTAAAATTAAACTACTTGTCGTAGGGCCGTAATATTTCAGTAAGTTCTAAAAGACCATGATATATATCGCCAAAAAAAGTTCAATAAAAATGATATATTGTAAATGATATAAGTACGTGTTAAAGTATAAAATTTTTATTTTATACTTTATTATTGATTGTGTATTTAATTCTGAATAAATAAATTGAATCGTAGTTTCTATAAAGATTTTAATCATTCACATTCAAAATAAACAACTTTTCTCGTTCGCCATATTCATCTGTGCGTAGAATTGAAAAAAAATGCATTTAATTTGCAAATGGAAACGTGATTTTTATTCACGCAATTATAAAAAGAATAGATTAAATTATTTTATACACATACACATTTTTTATTAAATTGCTTGTTTTTATTTCATTTGCAGTAGAAAATTTTTTATCGCTGAGTTTCCAGTACGATTATAAAGTCGGTACTTTATTTTGCTGTGGGGTTATATAATACCACACAATATTATATCTAGATTATTTAATTTTGTGCAAACTTTTAAAATACTTTATTCAACTTAAATATAGCGTTAAAAATTATAGCTGATTTTTTATTGCGATAAATAAAAACAGTAGAGATGTTTTACGCTCTGAGTCCAATTTTAAAGTGCACAGACATGCCCTTGAGTTTTGTTGTTAGTAAAAGTGATGGATAAATTAATTATAAATAAAATACGTCATGCAATTCATTTACATTAAGGGGGTCTTCCTATGTGATGAGTTGAAAAAATTGAATTTTTTTTTATTTCATATATCGGTAGATTATACCTTTAAAAATAACATATTAAATATTCAAATCGATATCTCAAAAAGTTTTTGAGTTACAGCCATTTAAAAAGTATACATATAGTATATAGTACAACGATCATTTTATCTTTAAACGCGTTTTTCTCAAAACTGTGTTTTTCAAACTGGTCTCCATTGTATCTCAGAAACGGCTGGACCGAATTACTTGAAATTTACAGGGCACATTCAATATATTTAAACGCATGGAATGAACTATTATCAATCAAAAATTTCAAAACTTCGATTTTTTATAGCAAAAAAACAAAAAAAATAAACGCCTAATTTGCAACTTTTATTTCAAATGTCTATAAAATATCCAGTTTTTTTTGTATTCATTTGATTGTAGTTCATTCCGTGCATTTAAGCCTACAAATTGAAACGCCGTTTATTTTTTTTGGTCAGATAAGCCGATCAGCCGGAATCGTGGAGACAGTGGGAGCTCTTTTTTTTGAGGGGGGGTGTTTAGAGCGCTGTAACTCTAGTTGGACTAAATTTTTTTAGCTGAAATTTTATATTTATACTGTCCAAATATGTATTAATAAATGATAAAAAACTTGAAGCTCTAACTATTTACTGGTCGTAGAAAAAAAATTCTAAAATATCCCTAAAAAACAGGCCGTCACATAGGAAGACCCTCTTAACCGAATACTTTAAGATATAAAAACTGTTTCCATAATAAATGCACATTTAGCACGTGTGTGCTAATTTATTATTTTTAATTGTAGTTTTAAAATATACTGATACTGACTATATTAGTAAGACTAATTGTAATAGACAATAAAATAAATAATTTCTTTTGAAACAATGTTTTCAAATATTTTATATTCCTTAAACTCATTGTTTAAAAGATACAATTTATGTGAAAAATACATACACGAATGAAATGAATATTTTTACCGTACGATTTTAAAATATAACGCTTTTAGCAGAAAATTCTTCAAAATATTTCATTTGTCAATTTTTCATATAAATTAATATTATCGGCAAATGATTGAATGCACAATTCACTGTGAATAAAATTCTGAATAATAATATATTTTTAAGGATAACAAACTGCTGTAACGTACCATGCTCTTTTGATACACAATAATACAAATTACTTAATTTTAAACATATTTGATAAATATTTCAATAAAAGAAAACAATATAAAAAATAAATGCAAAAGGCAATAATATGAGAACATAAAAAAATGTCTAGTTCAAAATCCGATTTTAAAGTATACTGACTTGCTTTGGGATTGTACAACATTAGATAATTATATATTATTTAATTTGTTGAATATTTGATTAATTTTTTTTGTTACAATTTATTTTTGTTAATGAAAACTTTAATGTGATTAAAATTATAGAAATGAAATATTTATCAAATATATGCACAGCTACAAATAAATTTATAAAAGATCTGTAAATACCATCGGTGTGATCTATGATTTTTTACGATTTTAAATACCGAGATGCTGCTATATTAATTATAATTTTACATTATTCTACATAGGATAATATAATTATAATTAATATTGCAGATTATTTAATTTCGTATAAATTTGTCAAATATTTTACTAAAATTAGACGCGGTGTTTATGAGAGTTATATTGAACAAATGTACCAAACAAATAATTTTAAAAATAATTTAGCTACAAAGAAATAAATGGGTAGGTAACATGATAATAATAATAAACTTACATATTCCACTTTTTTCCACAATTGATTTTTTCAAACACTTTTAAACACTTTTTCAACAACCGACAGACGGACAGACGGGCAGACAAACAGACAGGTCTATTAACAAACGGTATTTCTGCACTGTCGACATACAACTTTGCCTTAAACCTGACCCGATGAGAACTCACACTAATATAAATATAAATATGGATATAAATGAATATATTTATATATGTGTCTGTGTTTTTTTTTTACTCAAAACGAGTATTTCTCGGTCTAGAGGTCCAAACGACTCCCGAGGTCCCTTGTGAATGAACTCTATCGCCGACATGCAAGGTTCTTTGTATTCTTGCAAAGAACCTGATGGAAAAGTAGGAGAGTCGGCGGGGTTTGAGTATGCTAAGTGGAGTAGGTAGATGGTGGAAATTAATTAATCTACAATATTTGATAATGTTCAAAGACCCTACAGCTATTCACTGCACTTCAAAACATACTATTGATTTAGGTGCATTTGCTTTTTTATATTGTTTACAATTCTTAAAACAACCCATTAACATTTTTTTAATAACATTTTCGAATATACCAATAAGATATTGTAGGTTTAATACGTACAACATGAATAGGTAATAATGTAGATTATTTAAATTCATTTAACAGTTGCTATAGTGTCTTACAATATTATAAATCATTTAGTTTAATTTAATTAATCGCTGTAGGGTCTTTCAACATTAGGAAACATTGTAGATTTGGAATTTGTACAAAATTGAATTATTTGCAATATTGACTAATATTGTGATGCCCTCCTCCATAATATTACCCTAGAAAATAAATACGAAGTAAATTCATTCACAACTCATTAGTTCATTATTTTAATATATCTGTTGCAATTTACAAAAACTGCTGTTTATTATTGATGGTGGGTTTAAGAAGTTTATGAAAAAATAAATAATCTATAATATTGTTTAATATTGTAAGACACTACAGCAACTGTTAAATAAATTTAAATAATCTACACCATTGCCTATTAACGACGTTTGTATTGAACCTATACAATATCTTGGTATACTCAAAAATGTTATTAAAAAAACAGGTCGACTAAAACAAATTCCCATCATTGTGCATTATTTAATGTAGTAAAGTTTGAAACATTTTAACACTTTGACTGATTTTTTTGGCGAATTATCTACGACATAGCTAACCCTTAGCAAAGCATACTTTAAAATTAAGCAATTTTAAAACCAATTTTCTCTCAGCGCTTCTACTACAGATCAGTGTTTTAATAGCGGACATTTGAACAGAGATGAGAGAAAGAGTTTATCTAATACATAATGGACTTATGTGAAAAAAACGACGAAAAATGCAAATATATATAAATATATAAATGTATACATAAATTATAAACTCAACAGTTAGTTTTCTTATGTTGTTTTCAGATCTATACAACTCATGTTGCTGAATTCTAGTAAACCTTATTACATTGCTGAATTTTACGTTGCTGAATACTATTATGTTTTAGAATTCTAGTGAATCTTAAATTACGTTTGAACTTTCTTGATCTTTGAAGTATTTTACAATTTCACACTTAATGTTTTAATAATTCTAATGAATTCTATGGTAACTCAGTGTACTTCAAAATCATAAATAATAATTAAATAAAAGATTTATAAACAAAATGATATATGAACGCATTAAAAATGCGTTTATATCCAGATATTGTTTATAAATCTTAAACCACTTGATTGATGTTTTCAAAAAACTTATAAAACGTATAAAATTTAATAATCTACAACATTGTCTAATAACATAAGATGGTATATCAACTCAAAATACACCAAAATATCAATTAAATAAACATAATTTTAGTTGATTTGTGGATTTTGTCTAAAGAGGAATAATATGAGTTCATGATGAGTAAGTTAAAACAAAATGGTTTTAAAATGATAACATAAACTGTATTAAAGTACTTATTTACAATTCTGTGAGGATTTTACACAAATTAAAACATAACATACAATAAATTTTTAACGCTAACAAGAAGGGTTAATTACAAAAAATTAATGTTTAAACGACACATGATTATTGTCCTCGAACTGACTTTACATAATTAAGTAGCAATCGTGTGCCTTTGTTATAATATATATATATATATCTATATTTCTTTACCCTTCTTGTATATATAATTACCTAATATAAAATATTAAAGTTTTCGTGCATATATTTTTACTTATGTGCACAGTAAAAATCACTTTATAAAATAATTTCAATTAAAATTAATATAAGTATATGTAACTCTATTAATAAACACAGAGAGCAGTAAAAGAAACAAACGAGTGCCTTTGTTTTTGAATCTTTGGCAAACCCTATTATCCCTCATTCTCATCAACTTACAACCAAGGTGGTCTCGGATTCATTGGATCATAAGTCTGTCTCATGCCCAAGGCCGCATGGTATCGCGGTGATGCATACGCAGCAGCTGGGTTCGATATCAAACCCTGGTTGAGCATCATCTGAGCATTTGTCTGTTGTCGTAGGAGATCTTGGCTTTGGAGGTACTGCTGATAAATTGGGGCCGACGAATCCACCAAATGGCTTCCTGAAGGGGTTCCTATGTAGGGGTAGTCTCCTGTTCGTGCAGCAGGGCTGCTCAAGTACTGAAATTGGCTTACAGATGGATTTACAGGTTTGTCTTGGTCCGAAGAAGAACTCCGGTGCGGTAGATAATAAGGATTACTGTTATCCAAATAACTTTCATTCGTGTTGTATAAACCGGGGGTTAGGTTCAAACCCGGCTGGCCTGGTCCGAAATTAAACGCAGAGCCTAAAGGATTCTTGGTTTGTTTCATACCATCAGGCTTTACAACGCCTGTACCAGTTTTGACACTGGCGTAAGTCTGGAAACCTTGTTGCTGTGTTGACACTAAATCCCCTGGTTCGCCAGACACTGCCGTCTTCTTTTTACTCGATTTTCTCTTGGTCTCGGTTTGTACAACTGGTTTAGCATTGTCACTGATCACAGAACACTGACTGTTCATCGCTTGTTGTCTATTATAAGCCATGGACATGGTTTGAGAATGCTGCAACATTGTTTGCATCGTGGACATGGTTGCCGCATGCGCGTTCTGTGGTTGTAACTGTTGCGTAGCTTTTGATGCTTCATAGTAATTCGGTGAAGAGTTTTCCATGAAATGTCTTATACCTTGAGGCATATTCGTCAATTTTCTTAACGACGGATCTAGCATATTCGGTGAATTTGCGGAGAACTTGTAGTTTTGGTTGGCTAAGCTGTTATTGGTGTTGTGAAGGTCGTAAGTCCTTGCATGCATTGGAGGCTGATTCAAAGGTAAACCGATATGGGCATTTGGTGGCACCCTGTTGTCCATGTTTGGAATCGAGTTAAGTAAATGTATGTTAGTATTGCACTGAGGAATATTCAAGTTTATGCCAGGAATATTTAAATTTCTTGAGGAATAACCCATAAAATCATTTGTCGGCATTTGTAATTTTGTGTCCGGTGCACTGTTCAGTACCACTGCTGACTTTCTTGTCGGCTCGCTTATCTCCAAACCAGGTCTAGGCAAAGCTTTACCATATGCTTCAGGAAATACGGGTTGAACCTTGTGCAAGTTCTCTACAACTTTATTTGTTGCTTGTAAATGCTTTTGTTTATAATTTATCGCTTCCATGTCATCTTGTTTAGGCAATGTCTTCTGATTCTGAACGTTTGCATAATTCATATTCAAAACTTCTGCAGGTCTTTCCGGTATATTCTGCGGTGGATAATTTGTCGAAGGGATGATAGAATGAGGAAAGCCCATATTGGTCGGCATATCGAATAAATATGTAGGTTTGTTGGTTAGAGGTTTGCTAAAGTTTTTGGTAAACTCATCACCAGTTCTGCTTTTTAGATTATCATCAAAATCGATCTTTTTGGCTTTGTCGAGAGCAAACGGTTGTTGTTTGTCGTCTCTAAAAATCGTTGGCTTGTCCTCGATGCTCTGCGGGGGTTTGTCGTCTGGTTTTGAATAACCCATGTTGATCAATTCACCTGACGGCGAACTTTGCATCAGAACAGATGTTTTACTGACGTTTTCCACATCACTTGCCGGAGTTTCTTTCTGCTTTACCTCCTGGGTGATTCCTATCTTGGTATTATTTGTGGGACTCAACTTCCCATCGTTAAATCCTCGTTTCTTCATCGGATACGAGCTAGGAGCCGGCGCTGTTGGTTCGGGTTTGGACTCGAAGTGTTGGGAATAGGGCGAGTTGGGTTGTGGAGTCCCGTAAGGTGAACTCAAATCACTATTAGAATACGGAGAACTCTGACTGGAATAACTGAACGGACTATTAGGTCCCAACATAACTTGCTGGTTATTCGGCATGTGTTTATTATAAGGACCTCCGCTCTGTGGTCCGTATGGAGAATTGGGTTGACCAAAAGACTTGGTACTGCTATTGTTCGGACTTAAAGACACGTAGTCCGCATTATTTTCAGGAACCATACTCGAAGCTTTGTAATCGTAATAAGGCAAAGACTCACGATCATAATTCATTAAACCAGAATACGGATTTGTAAAGCTTTGCAAAGGGTTCGGTGAATTTTGCGATGGGTACAGATGTGATGCAGACGTCGGCAAGGTTCCTTGGGGTCTATTTGGCTCTTGCGGACTGCAACTTTTCTCAGGACTACTTTTAGTCATGTCCTGGTAAAATCCGACATTTATACTTTTCTGCACGTCCTCGGTTTTCGGTGAAGGTTTTTGTGGCGCTGCAGTTATTTTCGGAGACGGGTACGACAGTGGGTACGTGGAAGACATGCGTTCGTCTATTCCGGTCCGAGGTGAATCCATATCTTGACTGAAGTTACTATGATCAGACACTGTACTTCCGGTACTAGTTCTTCTGGTTCTGGGTGTTCTATTTGATTCGGGGCTTTCAGCTGAGGTTATAGGACAATCTGGTTCGACTTCAACTGCTTTAACTACAACAGGTTTCTCTTGTTGCGGTGGCGGCGGAAGGACTGTACTAGGTTCAGGTACTACAGGCGTAGGTGCCGGTTGAGATTCTTCTGGTTCCTCAGTTTTCTTTTTAGGGCCTTTAGGAGCTCCAAACGCCTTAAACCAAGCACTCAAATTCGGCGTTGCCTTTTCTTGGCAAGCTTTGAAAGGGCGTTCAAAAATTTCATCCTCCTCCGACGACCTTAGTGATGTAATTTCGTTCACTTGTGTATTGTCTTCTTTCTCACTTTTTTCTGACTTTTCAGGTGAAGTTTTCTTTTGCTTGCGCCCTTCGTCATTGAAATTGTGTTGCTGGACTAATCCAAACCTTCTGTTGGAAGCACAGTCCCCAAACTGAGCTTGGGACAAGTATCAGAGACTTCCTGCAAAGATTCCTCTTTGGTCTCTTTTGTTTTCAAGGTCGGAGATGTTGATTCCACCACTGGCACTTTTGTTACCGGTTGTGCACTGACGGTGTTTATCAAATTTCCTTTAGTTTTACCAGGCTGCAGCCTGTCTATTGTCCGTTGCATCTCACGTTTTTTATTTAAAAAGTTGCTTCAAAGAATCCCTCAAAAACTTACGTTTCACAACATCTTTACCATCTTTCTTAACACAACTCTATCCACAGTTTTGACATCCTTGTCAGGCTTCTTGAAGCCTGGTACAGTATCGCGGGATTCGTTTTTGTTTTTGTTTTATCTTGTGATGTGTTTTGAATCTCACTTTCTGTAAACCACTTGTCCATATCTTTCGTCTGCTCGGTCTCGGCGTCCAAAGCATCCATTGATGTATCATTATTAGGGACCTTCTTCTTAGTTTTGGAATTGTTTTTTTGTTATTGCTACTTTTCTTACTGACTGAATCATCAACAAATCATACTCATCATTTGGTGGAGTCTCTTTCGACTTCTGTCTTTTTGGTTTGCCAAAGATTTCATCAAAACGCATAGAATTCTCTTTACTTTTCTTATTCTTTGCACGCAATTTTTCTATAGTGTCACTCAACATTAAGTTCTTTCTTTAGCACTCAAATTTTTCTTTTTGTCTTTTTCACTTTTGTCATTAAGCACTGAATTTTTATCACTATGCACTGTTTTGATTTATTTGGTGTATTCGATTTGTCTTTATCCATACAATCATTTTATCGAATTTGTCTTCTGTGTCCATAGAAGAGTCTTTCCACTTATGCTTGGGATGCTTGTTAATACTTTCTTTATTATGTCTTTGTTGTCTTTATAGTCTATTTTAAACTTTTCACTATCTGATTCTTCTGAGTATGAAAGCAAAGGAGAAGGACTTCTACTCCTACTGCTTATGCCATCTTCACTGTCCACATCAGCAATTTTTTCTTTAATACTTGCTGTTTTCTTCTCTTTGGTTTTAGACTCATCTGAATTCTTGCTGTGTTTCTTCTTATTTTTATTTTCTTCTTACTAGGTCGTCCAACGCCTCTTGTTTTATTCTTCTTGGACTTTTTGCTAGATTTAGGAGTCTTCTCTTCTGGCAGAACACTTTTCTCCTTTTAGACTGCTTTGGTGGTGATGGTTTTCTTTGATATGTTTTTCTTCAATATCACTTTCTTTTTCATCGAAACTTTCATATTTAGGCTTTGACACATCACTTTTAACACGCTTCAGCTTCTTATTTTTCTTCTTTAATTTGGAGGAATGTTTCACTTCCTTTGTTTCTTTCACAATCTTCTTTTTCTTGCTCTTTGAGAATCATCAGGAGAGCCTTTAAACAAAAACAAAACAAACATGTACAAAATTTATGTTGAACTACTTGTATCATATACTATATTAAAAAATCTTACGTTTTCGTTTTTGACGGACGTTGGTGAAGCCACCTCTATCTTCGATGGCTTTGATGAGGTCTTGCTGCTGACTTTAGCAGGCTTTTCTTTTGCAGCATTTTCCTTAAGTTTTGGTCGTCCTCGTGTCGGCGCTGGAGGTATAGGTATTATAGGAAAATCTGTTTCCTCGTCTGAAGATGATTGATCTAAAAATCTATTTGTAGCTTGACAAATGCTTGCTGCAGATTATCAACCATCTCTGTATACTCTGAAACAAGTATTATATGCCTATTTAACACCTGAGTGAATAACAATTATGATGTGAATGATATTTTATATTGAAAATAGTTACCATTATCTTGCCCATTGTACAATTTACAATTGTTTACAAGAAGTTGAAAGTCCGCTTTGAATTCTGAAAACTTTGAGTATTTTCCAGCATCCAATTTATCCTCCATACGCTGCAGATCCATAGGTCTGCAAAAAATTAAAATTTTGGTAAATAATAACAAATAACAATTATAATTGATTTTCTAGGATA